CCCAAATCCCACCTAAAACCTCCCCAGATCCCCCCAAACCTCCCCTAAACCCCTCCCCAACCCCCCCATTCACCCCCAAATCCCCCCCAAACCTCCCCAAATCCCCCCAAACCCCCCCAAACGCCCCCCTAACCCCCCCTTGCAGATGTGGGGGCGCACCTGGAGCTGCTTGATGGTCTCGCCGCCCTTGCCGATGACCAGGCCGGCCTTGCCCGCGGGGATCATCAGCTCCTGCACGCCGCCGTTCTGCCCGTTGGCCGCGTCGGGGAACGGCCCCGGGGGCCCGCCCCGGCCCCGCGCCACGATCTCGTCCAGCAGCGCCTTCGCCTTCCTGCCGGCGGCACGGGGGTTGGGGGGAACCGGGGGGCTTTGGGGGCACTTGGGGGGATTTGGGAGGGGGTTGGGAGGGGTTTGGGGGCACACCGGGGGGCTTTGGGGGCACTTGGGGGCATTTGGGAGGGGTCTGGGGGGTTATGGGGGTAAACTGGGGGGCTTTGGGGGCACTTGGGGGGATTTGGGAGGGGTTTGGGGGCACACTGGGGGGGCTTTGGGGGCTTTTGGGGGGAAACTGGGGGGCTTTGGGGGCATTTGGGGAGGTCTGGGGGGGAGTTGGGAGGGGTTTGGGGGGTTATGGGGGGGCTTTGGGGGCATTTGGGGAGGTTTGGGAGGGATTTGGGGAAGTTTGGGAGGGACTTGGGAGGTCTGGGGGGAGCTGGGGAAGTTTGGGGCGCTTTGGGGGTCACTGGAGGCATTATGGGGATATTTGGGGGGGATCTGGGGGAGGTTTGGGGGGGTTTGGAGGGGATTTGGGGGTCACTGGAGGGGTTTAGGGGATATTTGGGGGGGATCTGGGGGAGGTTTGGGCGGGTTTTGGGGTTTCCAAGGAGCATTTTGGGGTCCCCAGGGGTGATTTTGGGGTCCCCCAGCCCATTTTGGGGTTCCCCAGGGCACTTTTGGGGTTCCCCAGCCCGTTTTGGGGTCCCCCAGGGCACTTTTGGGGTTCCCCAGCCCGTTTTGGGGTCCCCCAGCCCGTTTTTGGGGTCACTCACTGCACGGCCTCGGGGGAGCCGGTCAGGGACACGCTGCGCTCCGGGAGGCCGCCGCTGTCTGGGGGGGCAGGGGGAGATTCGGGGTTCAGGGGGGCCCCCCCACACTCGGGGGGGTCCGTGCCCCCCGGTTTGGGGGCCGGGGGCGGTTTTGGGGTCCGTACCTGGGGAGATCTGCACCTTGCACCCCGAGTCCTGCTGGATCTTGTTGATCTGCTCGCCCCCCCGGCCGATGACTGCGGGGTTTGGGAAAAACGGGGTTTGGGGGGTCCCCAGAATCCCACTGACCCCTGGGACCCCCACAAGAGCCCCAAAACCCCCCCAGAGCCCCCCAGACTCACTGAGGCCGACCATCCCGTCAGGCACCCGGTACTCCTCGGTCACCGTCGTCCTGGGGGACAGCGGGGTCAGGGCACCCCAAAAAAACCCCCACGAACACCCCAAAAACCCCAATAAACACCCCCAAAAAAAACCCCTTAAACACCCCAAAAAAACCCCATAAACACCCCAAAAAAAACCCCATAAACACCCCAAAAAAAACCCCAAAAACACCCCAAAAACGCTCCAGGACCCAAAATCCCCATTAACACCCAAAACCCCACACCCCAAAAACCCCCCAACCCCAAAACCCCTCAAAAGCCCCATAAAAACCCCAAAACTCCCCGTAAAACCCTACAAAAACCCACAAATTCCATAAAAACCCCAAAACCCCACAAAAACCCCAAACCCGAGGCCGTACCTGGCTGGGGGGTGCATCGGCCCCATCGGTGCCGGCAGCGCTGGGGGGAACCGGAGCCGTCTGTGGGGTGCCCCAAACCGGGGGAGCCCCCAAACCCCAAATCTCCCAAAAATCCTTCAACATCCCCCAAACCCACCCCAAAACCTCCCCAGGACCCCCAAAACCTCTTAGGGACCCCCCCAAAACCCCTTTAAGGACCCCCAAACCCTTTAAAGACCCCCCAAAACCCCTTAGGGACCCCCCAAACCCCTTTTGGGGCCTCCCAAACCCCTTTAGGACCCCCAAACCCTTTAAGGACACCCCCAAACCCCCTCAGAGACCCCCCAAACCCCTTAAGGGACCCCCCCCAAACCCCTTAAGGGACCCCCCCCAAACCCCTTAAGGGACCCCCCCCAAACCCCTTTAGTGCCCCCCAAACCCCTCTAGGACCCCCAAACCCTTTAAGGACCCCCAAACCCCTTAAGGGACCCCCAAACCCCCTCAGAGACCCCCCAAACCCCTTTAGGACCCCCAAACCCTTTAAGGACCCCCCAAACCCCTCAAGGGACCCCCACTCACCTTCCCCCTGTGCCGCCAGTTTCTTGCTCTCGGGCTGATCTGGGGGTGCAGATTTTAGGATTGGGGACCCCTCCAGGCCCCCCCACCCCAAATGTCGGGGTCCCCGCGGGTTTTGGGGTCCCGTCCCGCCTCACCTCCATCCTCCAGCTGCCGTTTCTGCCCCCCGAAGCCCCCGAAATCGGGGGGGGGGGCGTTGTTGTTGGGCACCGGCGGCGCCGCGTCCCCCCCGATTTTGGCCGCGATCTGGGGGGGGGACAGCGAAATTTGGGGGGGCTGAGAACCCAAAATGCCCCAAAAGTCACCCAAAATCCCCTCCCGAAAACCCCAAATGTCCAGAGCCAGCCCGAGGCACGCAGGAGGGAGCGAGACACCCCAAAATGTGCCCAAATTGCCCCAAAACATACCAAAATGCACGCAAATCAGCCCAAAATGTGCCCGAATCGCCCCCAAATGTGCCAAAATGCACCCAAATCAGCCCAAAATGTGCCAAAATCACCCCCAAATGTGCGAAAACCGCCCCAAAATGGCGCAAAACCCACTGAAATATGACCCCAAAACTGACCCTGAAAATCACCCCAAAATTGCCCCAAAAATGACCCCAAAAATGACCCAAAACCCACCCAGAAATGAACCCAAAATGGTCCCAAAACCCATCCAAAAATCACTCTAAAACGGCCTAGAAGTACCCCAGAAATAATTCCAAAATTAAACCCAAAATCACCCCAAATGACCCCAAAAAAAGCCCCAAAATCACTCCAAAAATGACCCTAAAATCACTCCAAAAATCACCCCACAACAGCCCAAAACTCACCCACAAATGACCCCAAAATGTCCCCAAATCCCAACCAAAAATGACTCCAAAATAGCCCAAAAGTCACCCCAAAAAAGTGCTCAAAATCACCGTAAAAGAGCCGAAAATCTGCCCCAAATTCACCGCGAAACCCCCCCCAAACCGCCCCAGGACCCTTGAAAACCCTTTGGGGACCCCCAAAATCTCCCCAGGACACCCCAAAACCCCTCAGGAACCCCTAAAACTCCCTCAGAACCCCTCAAACTCCTCAGGATCCCCCAAAATCGCCTCAAGATCCCCCCAAACCCCTCAGGATCCCCCCAAGCCCCTCAGAACCCACCGAACTCCCCTCAAGACCCCCAAAATCCCCTCAGAACCCCCAAAATCCCCTCAGAGCTGCCCCAAACCCGTCAGGATCCCCCCAAACCCCTCAGGATCCCCCAAATCCCCTCAGAACTGCTCCAAACCCCTCAGGATCCCCCCAATCCCCTCAGAACCGCCCCAAACCCCTCAGGATCCCCCAAATCTCTCCGCGCCCCGGAGGCTCCGGGACCGCCACACTGCGGGTGTCCGGCGGGACTCGAGCCGCCCTCCCAGACCCGCGGGGCCGTTAATTGCGCGGTTATTAATTACGGTAATTACCGCCATCGCGGGGCCCCGCGGGGGAATTACGGTAATGCGCCGCCGGTAGCGTCATTACGGTACCGGGCCCTGACGGCACCGGGAGGGAAGAACCGGGACAAAACCGGGACGGGCGGAACGGGGGAGGGGGCGGCGCGTGAGGGGAGATCCGGGGGGTGGGGGAGGGGCGAGCCCCCCCCTCCCCTCCGTGACCCCCGGTTTGGGGGGGTGGGGGCGGGGCCTTACCGGGAAGGTGGGGGCGGGGCCGCGGCGCCCCGGGGAGGGCCGGGGGGGGTCCCCGCCGCCTCCCGCCGCCTCCCGCCGCCCCGCCGCGCCCCTCACCTGCCGCGCTCGCTGCACCGCGTCGGCGAACGCGTCTTTCCGCCCCGTCCCGCCGCCGCCGCCGCCGCCGCCGCCGCCTCCGCCGCCGCCTCCCGGGCCTGCCGCGGGCCCGGCTGAGGGGGGCGCGGCGGGGGCGGCCCCGGGCTGGGGGGGCGGGGGCGGCGCGGGGCCGAACTCGGACATGGCGGAGGCGGCGACGGGCACGGGCCGCGCTCGCCTCGGGCCGCGCGGGGCACGCTGGGAGCGCGCCGGCCGGGCCCGCCCGCACCGGCGGCGCGCGGCCAATCGGAGCGCGGCGGGGCGCTGAGTGACAGGGCAGCCGGCCAATCAGCGGCTGCGAGCGGCGCGCGGCGGCCAATGGGAGGAAGGAAGGAGCCGGCGCGCTGCGATTGGGGGGTGTTCGGAGGAGTGACAGCGCGGCGGGCCAATGGGAGGGCGGGGATTGGCGCCGCGCGTGGGCGGGACTGAAGGGTGCGCGGCGAATCGCGCTGCGCGCCGAGGCTAGGCGGCCTCGCCAGACGCCGCGATTGGTGGAGGAAGCGGAAATCAGGGAAAAGGCGGGGCGGTGGTTGATTGACCTACTGCCCGACCAATAACGTGCAGCGCTCTCGTCTCCCTCCCGCGCCGCGCAGCGATTGGAGAAGGCGTTTGACTGACGGCAAGTGCCGCCAATGGGGCGCGCAGAGCGGGAGGGGCGGAGCTTCGTTAGATTGACAGGCGCGGCGGCGGGAAACTCGCTGGCCAATCAGCGCCGAGCTCGCGGAAGGCGTTTGATTGACAGCGCGCTCAGCCAATGAGCGCTGCGCGGGGGTTTTGGAGGGAAACGGCGACCAATCCGCGAGCGCGCCGCAGGGGCGGGGCGAGTCTGAGGCGCTGCGGATCAGCCAATGGCGTGAGGCGGGGGTTAATAAATAAACATTTATTGACGTCACGGGGGCCCAGGCTGGGCCAAATTCACAGAATTTTGGTTAAAAATGTTTTTGTTTTTGAATTCCCAAAAATTCCCTGAGGTGACGGTGGGGACACCTGGGCAGGTGAGAACAGGGGAGGGCACGGGAGGGCAGCAGGGACGGGTGTGCCCAGGTGTGCCCAGCTGTGTCCAGGTGTTCCTACAGCTGCATCCAGGTGTGCCCAGGCTCATCCAGCTGTGCCCAGGTGTGCCCAGGTGTGTCTGCAGCCACATCTGGGTGCGCTCAGCTGTGCCCAGGTGTGCCCAGGTGTTCCTACAGCTGCATCCAGGTGTGCCCAGGCTCATCCAGCTGTGCCAAGGTGTGTCCAGGTGTTCCTACAGCTGCGTCCAGGTGTGCCCAGGTGTGCCCAGGTGGGTCCGCTGCCATAGGTGGGCGTTCCCAGGCTCATCCAGGTGTGCCCAGGTGTGCCCAGGTGTGCCCAGGTGGGTCTCGGCTCCTCCAGCCCCTCAGGGCTCATCCTCCTCTGCCGTCAGCGGCCACTGGGGGGGCAAAGGTGGGCCCGGCTCACTTGGGGGGGTCTCACCTGTCCCATGGGCTCACCTGGGGGGCCTCACCTGTCCCCCCCCCATGGGCTCACCTGGGGGGCCTCACCTGTCCCCCATGGGCTCACCTGGGGACCCTCACCCGTCCCAAGGTCTCACCTGGGGGGGTCTCACCTGTCCCCCAGGGCTCACCTGGGACCCTCACCTGTCCCCCCCCAGGTCTCACCTGGCTGTCCCCGGGCCCCGCCCCGCCCGGCGGGTCCGGAACCTTCCGGAAGGCGGCGTTGCTGAAGCTGATGCTGTGGGAGCTGCGCCGGCGCCATCCCCGCCAGAGCGTCCGGGCGGCCGCGGCCACGGCCACGGTCAGACCTGGCCAAAAACGGGATTTCAGCCCCAAAAACAGGGATAGAACCCCGAAATATGTGATTTCACCCCAAAAAGCAGGATTTCCTCCCAGAATCCTGGGATTTCTGCCAAAAATCCAGGAATTCCCCCCAAATGGGATATTTCCCCCCAAAACCCCAGGATTTCCCCTCAAAAACCCAGGATTTCCCCCAAAATCAGATATTTCCCCCCAGAAACCCAGGATTTACCCCAAAACCCCAGGATTTCCCCCAGAATCACGGGCTTTCCCCCCAAAACCTGGGACGCCCAAATTCCCGGGATTTTCCCCCAAAATCCGGGATGTCCCCCAGTGGGATTGGCTCCTGGAGCCCCCTGGTGGCAACGGGCGGGAATTGCATAAAGAGACCCCCCCCCCGACTTTGGGACCCCTCCCAAAATTTTGTGACCCCCTCCCCCACTCCGTGACCCCTCCCCCACTCCGTGACCCCTCCCCCACCTACCGAGGGGCAGCAGGACCCCCAGTGACGTCATCAGCGGCCCCGCCCCCCCGGCCCCGCCCGGCCGGCCGAGGTCACCTGGGGAGACAGGTGGGGTCAGGGGGCGTGGCCAGGTGTGACAGTGGGTGTGTCAGTGGGTGTGTCAGTGGGTGTGGCCCATGGGCGTGTCCGGGGCGTGTCCCTCACCTGCGGTGGCACTGGAGGTGTTCCCCTCAGCGCTGAGGTTTCGGCTCTGCGGCTCCGCGGTCCCATTGGGCTCTGGGGGGAGGGGCCGGGGTCACCTGGGCTCAGGTGGGGTCACTGGGCGGGGTCAGGGGTCACTGGGCAGGGTCAGGGGTCACTGGGCAGGGTCAGGGGTCACCTGGGGTCAGGTGGGGTCACTGGGCAGGGTCAGGGGTCACTGGCCAGGGTCAGGGGTCACTGGGCAGGGACAGGGGTCACCGGACAGGGTCAGGGGTCACTGGGCAGGGACAGGGGTCACCGGACAGGGTCAGGGGTCACTGGGCAGGGTCAGGGGTCACTGGGCTCAGGTGTGTCCCAGGGGTGTCACCTGTCCCGCAGGGGTGTCTCGGTGCTTTTGGGGTATTTTTGGGGCAGTTTTGGGGTATTTTCAGGGCAGTTTTTAGGTTATTTTCGGGGTAATTTCGCTCTCACCTGTCCGGCAGGTGCGCCCATCCCCTGCCAGGTGTGTTTGGGTGTATTTTTGGGGCAGTTTTTGGGGTATTTTCGGGATATTTTCGGGGTATTTTCGGGATATTTTCGGGGTATTTTCGGGGTATTTTCGGGGTATTTACAGTCTCTCACCTGTCCGGCAGGTGCGCCCATCCCCCGCCAGGTGCTCCCCGTCCGGGCAGGCGCAGGTGAAGGGGGCGGAGCCAAGGCCACGGGGGGGGGAGGGGAGGCAGAGGAAGGAACAGCCGGAGCCGAGGCAGCGGTTCTGCCCTGGGGGGGGGGGGCAGGAAATTTGGGGTGAATTTGGGGGTTTTGGGGCGTTTTTGGGGCTATTTTTGGGAAAATATCAGGGTGATTTCAGCGTGGGTTTGGGTTACCGCAGGGCTGTCGGTCAGGGTGCATTTTGGAGTATTTTTGGGATGTTTTCAGTATAATTTTGGGGTGATTTCGGGTACCTGGGGGCTGTCTGTCGGGGTGCATTTTGGGGTATTTTCAGGATAATTTTGGGCTGATTTGGGGTGATTTGGGGTACCTGGGGGCTGTCTGTCGGGGTGCAGCACCAGCACGGCCTCGGGGCTGAGCAGCTCCTGCGCCAGCAGCCGGGGGGGGTCGGGCGCGGAGCCCCCCCGGAGCCGTGAGGCCACCAGAGACCCCCGGGCGGGGTCGGTCCAGAGCAGCCAGTCCTGGGGAGGGGCGGGGGTCACCGGGGGGTCACCGGGGGGTCACCGGGGTCACCGGGGGGTCACCGGGGTCACCGGGGCTCACCTGGATCACGGCCAGCCCCAGGGGCTGCCGCAGGCTCGGGGGGTCCCTGAGCAGCGTCCGGCGGCCGCGGCCGTCCAGCCCCACGCTGGACACGGTCTGGAGGCGCCCGTCCGCCCAGAACAGGCGCTGGGAGAGCGGGTCTGGGGGCAGGGGTCAGCGGGGGGTCAGCGGGGGCACCCAGGGGGCACCCAGGGGGCACCGGGGTCAGCCAGGGGTCACCAGGGGGCACTTTCGGGGAGATTTGGGGAGATTTGGGCTCACCCAGCGCCAGCCCCTGCGGCCGCTCCACGCCCTCAGTCACCAGCGCCTCGGGGGGGGCCCCGTCCTGAGCCCCCCGAGTGATCTGGGGCCGGGACCCCCAGTCCGACCAGTACAGGAACCTGGGGGGCACCCAGGGGTCACCCCAAACAGACAGGGACCCCAAAAACACCCCAAACCACCCCAAAACAGCCACGGACCCCCAGTCCAACCAGTACAGGAACCTGGGGGGCAGCGGGGTCACCCCAAACAGCCAGAGACCCCCAAAAACACCCAAAACCAGTCAGGGACCCCAAAAACTCCCAAACCCATCCAGGGACCCCCAAAAATACCCAAAACCACCCCAAAACAGCCAGGGACCCCCAAACCCATCCAGGGACCCGCCACGACCCTCCCAGGGACCCCCCCCAAACCTGCCCAGGACCCCCAGGCCCGTTTTGGTTCTTTTGGGGCCATTTTTTGGGGTATTTGGAGGCAGTTTTGGGCTATTTTGGGGCAGTTTTGGATATTTTGGGATATTTCAGGCCCCCCCCGGCCCGTACCCGCTCGGGGGGTCCACCACCAGCGCCCAGGGCCGTGTCCGGGGGTCCCGGTGCACGGTGCGCTGCCGCCCGTCCCGGGGGTCGGCCACGGCCACGCGGCCCCGGCCGGGCTCGGTCCAGTAGAGCAGAGAGTGGGTCCAGTCCAGCGCCAGCCCCGCCGGGGCCCCCCCGGGCACCGACAGCGGCACCGGCACCGCCGGACCCCCGGCCAGAGGGGCCCTGGGGGGACAGCGGGGGGGGGTTGGGATTTGGGGGGATTGGGGGGATTGGGGGGGATTTGGGGGAGTTTGGGGGGGATTGGGGGGGATGGGGGGGGGATTTGGGGGGGATTAGGGGGATTTGGGGGGTCTGGAGGGGATTTGGGGGGATTTGGGGGGGATTTGGGGGCACTGGGGGGGATTTGGGGGGGATTTTGCAGTTGCAGGTGGGATTTTGGGGTCCCAGGGAGGATTTGGGGTTCCTGGGAAGGATTTTGGGGGTGGATTTCAGGGTCCCGGGGAGGATTTCAGGGGTCCCAGGGCGGATTTTGGGTTCCCAGGGAGGATTTGGGGTCCCGAGGAGGGTCCCGAGGAGCGTTTTGGGGGTCCCAGGGAGGATTTCAGGGGTCCCAGGGTGGATTTCGGGGTCCCAGGGTGGGTTTGGGGTCCCGGGGAGGGTTTCAGGGGTCCCAAGGAGGATTTTGGGGTGGGTTTCGGGGTCCCAGGGAGGATTTGGGGTCCCGGGGAGGGTCCCAGGGAGGATTTGGGGTGGATTTGGGGCCCCTCACGTGTAGATGCGGCCCTGGGCGGGGTCCCCCCAGAAGAGCGCCCCCCGGTGGATGTCGGCGTCCATCGGCCCCGCGTGTTTCAGCGCCCCCTGCAGGAGCCGCGGGGCGGCGCCGCCCAACTGCAGCAGCTGATGGCGCGCGGCCACGAGCAGCGGCCCGGGGGGGCCTGGGGGGATTGGGGGGGGATTTGGGGTTTTTGGGGGGTTTGGGGGGGCCTGGGGGATTTGGGGGGATTTGGGGTTTTTGGGGGGTTTGAGGGGATTTGGGGGGCTGGGGGGTTTGGGGGGTTTTGGGGGGGATTGGGGGGTTTGGGGGATTGGGGGTTTGGGGAGTTCCGGGCATTTGGGAACTTCTGGGGATTTTGGGCATTTCTGGCTGGTTTGGAGGGGATTTTTGGCGAATTTGGGGAATTTTTGGTTAATATTTTAGGGTATTTTTGGGTTAAATTTGGGCTGCTTTGGCTCACCCAGGCAGGTGCGGTTGTCGGGGATTTGGGGGCTATTTCAGGGCTATTTCAGGGATATTTCAGGGATATTTCAGGGATAATTTAGGGATATTTTAGGGATATTTCGGGGATATTTCGGGGATATTTCGGGGATATTTCAGGGATATTTCAGGGATATTTCAGGGGTATTTTGCTCACCCATACAGGTGCGGTTGTTGGGCTCCAGCCCCAGCCCCGCCGGGCAGACGCATTCGTAGCCGACGCTCAGGTCCCGACAGCCGTGGGAGCAGCCCCCGGACCCCTCCAGGCACTCGTTCACCCCTGGGCGGGAGCGACCCCCAACGCTGCGTCCCGGCCCCAAAACCCCAAATCCCAAACCAAAATCCCAAATCCCGACCCCAAAATCCCCAATTCCGCCCCAAAATCCAAAATCCCGACCCCAAAATCCCCAATTCCACCCCAAAATCCCAAATCCCAGGCACCAAAATCCCCACCCTAAAAGGGACCGAAAATCCCCACTCCCAAATCCCAAAATCCCCAAAACCCCAAAAGGGACTGAGACCCCAAAATCCCAGGGAGGAGAAGACGGGGGTGGTGGGGGGGATTTTTGGGGGATTTTTGGGATGGTCTGAGGGGTTTTGGGGTGTTTGGGGAGAATTTGGGGTTTTATAGGGGGTTGGGAGGAGTTTTTGGGGCGGTTTTGGGGCTGTTTTGGGGCGGATTTGGGGGGTTTTGGGGCGGTTTTGGGGGGAGTTTTGGGGTGGTTTTGGGGCGGTTTTTGGGGGGTTTTGGGGGCGGTTTTGGGGCGGTTTTTGGGCGGATTTGGGGGTGTTTTGGGGCGGTTTCAGGGCCCCTCCTCACCGCACTCCTTGAGGGGCTCGTCGGACCAGTCGCGACAGTGGCGCCGCCCGTCGCAGACCTGCGCTATCGCGATACACTCCCCCGAGCGGCAGCGGAAGCGGTGCGGGGGCGGGCAGGGCGAGGCTGGGGAGAGGGGCCAGGGATGAGAGACCCCAGAGCGTCCCCAAAAACCCAAAATATCCCCCAAAGCGTCCCCAAAATATCCCCCAAATATCCCCCAAAGCGTCCCCAAAATATCCCCGAAACATCCCCAAAATATCCCCCGAAAACCCCAAAATATCCCCCAAATATCCCCCAAAACATCCCCAAAACATCCCCCGAAACATCCCCAAAACATCCCCCGAAACATCCCCAAAATATCCCCCGAAACATCCCCAAAATATCCCACGAAACATCCCCAAAATATCCCCCGAAACATCCCCAAAACATCCCCCGAAACATCCCCAAATATCCCCCAAAAACCCCAAAATATCCCCCCAAAACCCCAAAATATCCCCGAAACATCCCCAAAATATCCCCAAAATACCCCAAAACCTCCCCCCAGCCCCCCGCCCCTCCCCCTCACCATCGGGACACGCCTCCTCGTCGTCCCCATCGCGACAATCGGGAGTCCCGTCGCAGGCGCGCGCCGCGGGGATGCAGCGCCTGTCGCGACAGAGGAGCTGCCCGGGGGGGCACGGGGGGGGCGGGGCTGCGGGGCGAGAGCGCGCCCAGTCCGGCCCAGTCCATCCCAGTCCATCCCAGTTCATCCCAGTCCATCCCAGTCCCTCCCAGTCCGGCCCAGTTCATCCCAGTCCGGCCCAGTCCGGCCCAGTCCATCCCAGTTCATCCCAGTCCGGCCCAGTTCGGCCCAGTTCGTCCCAGTCCCAGCCCAGTCCGGCCCAGTCCGGCCCAGTTCATCCCAGTCCGGCCCAGTCCGGCTCAGTCCGGCCCAGTTCGTCCCAGTTCATCCCAGTCCGGCCCGGTCTGGCCCAGTCTGGCCCAGTCCCTCCCAGTTCGTCCCATTTCATCCCAGTCCCTCCCAGTCCATCCCAGTTCATCCCAGTCCCATCCCAGTCCCTCCCAGTCCATCCCAGTTCGTCCCAGTCCATCCCAGTCCCCCCCAGTCCCCCCCAGTCCCATCCCAGTCCCTCCCAGTCCCTCCCAGTACAAACCAGTCCCCCCCAGTTCCCTCCCAATCCCATCCCAGTCCCATCCCAGTCCCATCCCAGTCCCCCCCAGTATAAACCAGTCCCCCCACAGTATAAACCAGTCCCCCCCGCTCTCACCGCAGTCCGTCTCGTCGGAGCTGTCGCGACAATCGGGGGTCCCGTCGCAGCGCCAGCGCCGCGCGAGGCACTCGCCGGACCCGCAGGAGAACTGCAGGGGGGGGCAGGGCCGGGGGGGCGGGGGGGGCCCGCACAGCCCCTCCGCCTCGTCCTCCCCGTCGCGACAGTCGCGGTCGCCGTCGCAGCGCCACAGGGCCGCGATGCAGCTCCCGTCGCGACAGCGGAACGCGGGCGGCGCGCAGGGCGGGGCAGGGGCGCAGCCCGCCTCGTCCCGCCCGTCGCCACAGTCGCGATCGCCGTCGCAGACGAAATGTCGCGACAGACACGAACCGTCCCCGCAGGAGAGATGGTCCGGGGGGCACGAGGGGGGCGCTGGGGGGGGAGAAAGGGGGTCAGGGGGGCCCGAAATGGGGCGGGAACCCAAAATATCCCCGGGGAAACCCAAAATTCACCCCAAAAACCCAAATAACCCCCGGGACTCCTGAGCTCCCCCTGTTTTGGGGATCCTGGGCCCATTCTGGGGCTTCCGGTCCCGTTTTTGGGGATTTTATCCCATTTTTGGAGGTTTTATCCCCATTTCAAGGTGTTTTATGCCATTTTTGTGAGCTTTGACCAATTTCGGGTGTTTTATCCCCATTTCGGGGCTTCTGCTCCAACTTTGAAACTTCCGATGGAATTTTGGAGTTTGACCCCAAATTTGGGGCCGGTCCCGCCCCTTTCGGGGCCGTTCCGAAACCATTTTGGCCACTTTTAATCCCATTTTTCGGATCCCCTCCCATTTTGGGTTTTTTTCCCCCAGTTTTTGGGTTTTTTCCCCTCAGTTTCTGGGTTTTTTTCCCCCCTCCTTTTTGGAGTTTTATCCCATTTTTTTTGGGTTTTATCCCGGTTTTTGAGGTTTTTATCCCGGTTTTTTCCCCTCCCCCCCGGCCCCACCCGGGCGCGCCCTCCCCGCGCGCCGCGCTCTGATTGGCTGCCGCAGGCCCCGCCCCCGCGGGTGGCCAGTCCGGCCTCAGCCAATGGGAGCCGCGTCCGCCGCGGGGCGGGGCGGGCCGCGAGCGCTGATTGGCTCTTCCCGGAAAGGGTGGGGCAGAGTAGGCGGGGCCTCCCAACCGGAGGGGCGGGGCGGCGACACGTGGGGGGGCCCGGGGGGAGTTTGGGGGTCCCGGGGCGGATTTGGGGGTCCCGGGGCGGATTTGGGGGGCCCGGGGGGGGGGGGTTTGGGGGTCCCGAAGGAGATTTGGGGGCCCGGGGGGGGGATTTGGGGGTCCCGAAGGAGATTTGGGGGTCCCGGGGGGGGATTTGGGGGTCCCGGGGGGGGGATTTGGGGGTCCCGGGGGGGGGATTTGGGGGTCCCGGGTGGGGTCACGGGGGACCTCCAGAACCGCCCCCCTCCCCCCCCCTCCCCCCCCGGTTCCCTCCCCGGGACCCCCGGTGCCCTCCCCGCCCCCATCGTGGGTCTGGGGGTCCCCACCCCCTCCCGGACCCCCCAAACCCCCCCCCGGGCCCCTCCCCCCTCACCTGTGCTCGGTGTCGGTGTCGCCGCCGCCGCCGCCGCTCCCAGGAGGAGCAGGAGGATCCCGGTGGTCCCGGAGCCCCTCCCGGTGGTCCCGGAGCCGCTCGCGGCCGTTCCAGCTCCTCTCCCGGTGCTGCCGGGTCCCATCCCGAACTTTCCCGGTTCCTTCCCGCTGGTCCCGGGCTCTGTCCCGGTTTTCCAAGCGCGGTTCGTGTCCCGGAGCTCACCGGGAGCGGGGCCGGGGCTGGAGGGATCCGGGAGCTTCGGGCGGATCCCGGGACCGGCCGGTCACGGTGCCGGTCGGTGCCGGTGCTGATCCCGGTGCTGATCCCGGTGCTGATCCCGGTCCCGGTGCCGATCCCGGTCCCGGTGCCGGTGCCGGTGCCGCTCCCTCCCCGCGTTCCCGTGGCCGCGGGTCCCGCCGGGCCCCATTTAACGGGCGGGGGAGGAGCTCGGGGCGTTCAAAAAGGGGGAGGGCGGGGCGGGAAAACGGGAATGAGGGGCGGGAAAAACGGGAATGAGGGGCGGGAAAAACGGGAATGAGGGGCGGGAAAACGGGAGGGACGGACGGACGGAAGGGCGGGACCGGGGGACACGCGGATACCGGAGCGGGGACCGGAACACCGGGAGGGGAGAGCGGGAAGGAGAAAAATCCGGGAAAAGGGAGGGAAGGAGAGAGGGGCTCCATTGTCCATTCCCAGTGACCCCAAAATCCCAGAGTGACCCCAAAAACTCCTCTGGAACCCCAAATCCCCCAGTGACCCCAAAAACTCCCCCAGGTGACCCCCAAAAGCTCCTCTGGAACCCCAAACCCCCCCCCCGGCTCACCCAGAACCCCCAGAGTGACCCCAAAAATTCCCCCCCGCCCCCCCGGAGGCGACTCGGCTCCTGTTGGATTAATTTATTAATTAATTATCGACTGCTGGGGATCCAGGGGCAGCGACAGCGCCGGGGTGGGGGGGGGCTCAGGAGCGGGATTGGGATCGGCCGGGGGGATCCCGGGGATGGGAGATGGCCCGGGACGGTCCCAGGCTGAGCCGGGACGGAGTTAGGAGCACCCAGGATGGAGTTAGGATGATCCAGGACCGATTTAAGATGATCCAGGATGGATTTAGGAGCACCCAGGATGGAGTTAGGATGATCCAGGACCGATTTAAGATGATCCAGGATGGATTTAGGATCACTCAGGATGGATTTAGGAGCACCCAGGATGGATTTAGGATGATCCAGGAGGATTTAGGATGATCCAGGAGGATTTAGGATCACCCAGGATGGATTTAGGAGCACCCAGGATGGGCTGGATCACTCTGGACCATCCGAGACCACCCAAATTTGGGACAATCTGGATCTGGACCGAGCAGGGGCAGCCTGGGAGCACCCAAAGGACCCGGGCCAGGCCCAGTGGGACCCCCGGGACAGTTTGGGACCCCCGGGGACAGTTCGGGACCCCCGGGACAGTTCGGGACCCCCGGGACAGTTCGGGACCCCCCGGGACAGTTCGGGACCCCCCGGGGACAGTTCGGGACCCCCGGGACGCTCCGGGGGCAGTGCCGATCCCGGTCCCGGTATAAATAGGGGCGAGGTTGGATGTGGGGCTGTGGGTTTTTTGGGATTCTCAGGATTTTTGGGAATTCCGGCGTCGCTGCCGTCGGAGCTACGGGGCAGAACGGGGGGACTGGGGGTCGGGGGGGGTTTGGGGTCGCAGAGCTCGGGAGCTGTGGAATGTCGGGGTCAGTCGTCCTCGGTGCCGCTGCCGGAGCGATCCTGGAAAAAAGGGGGAAAGGGGGTGGGATTTGGGGTCAGGATGGGATCTGGGGGGTCCAGGGTGAGATTTTGGGGGTTCAGCCCAGGATTAAGGGGGCGGGTGAAGGACTGGGGCCAGTGCCAGGATCTGGGATTTGGGGTCAGTGCCAGGATCTGGGATTTGGGATTGCTGCCAGGATCGGGGTCTCTCCCTGGATTTGGGGTCTGGGGTCTCTCCCCAGATTTGGGGGTCTCTCCCTGGATTTGGGGTCTCTCCCTGGATTTGGGGTCTCTCCCCGGATTTGGGATTTGGGGTCTCTCCCTGGATTTGGGGTCTCTCCCCGGATTTGGGGTCTCTCCCCGGATTTGGGGTCTCTTCGGGATCCCTCCAGGCCCCCTCACCTCCTCCTGCTCGTCCTCGCTCTCGTCGTCGCTCAGGAGGGGTTTGGGGCGCCCCCCCCGCCCCCCCCGGCGCCGGCCCTTCCCGCGTTCCGGAACCTTCTCCTTGCGGCCCAGGCGGATCTTCACCTTCACCGAGCGGGCTGAGGGCCGGAGCTCCGAGTGACCCCGAGCCCATCCCATGGATCCCATCCCATGGATCCCACTGATCCACCCAGACCCCATTGATCCCATCCCAATCCCATTCACCCATCCCGAGCCCATCCCATGGATCCCATCCCATGGATCCCATCCCATGGATCCCATCCCATGGATCCCACTGATCCCACCCAGACCCCATTGATCCCCTCCCAATCCCCATCCCAATCCCATTCACCCATCCCATTCACCCATCCCAATCCCTCATCCCATCGATCCCATTGATCCAATCCCATTCACTCCATCCCATCCAATTAATCCCATCCCATCCCACTGATCCCATTGATCCCATCTAATTGATCCCATCAATCCCATTGATCCCATCCCAATCCCATTCACCCCATCCCAACCCATTGATCCCATCCCATTGATTTCCATCCAATTGATCCCATGAATCCAATTAACCCCACTGATCCCACTGATCCCATCCCAATCCCATCCCACGGATCCCACCCCAAATCCCCGGGATCCCACCCACCCCAAGGCCCACCCTCGGACTCGGATCCTTCCTCCTCTCCCTCCTCCTCCTCCTCGCTCTCCTCTCCGTCGCTCTCCTCCTCCTTCTCCACCTTCTGCCGGACGCTGGTGAACACGGACTGGAGCACGATGGAGTCCTCGTAGATCTGGGGAGGGGCGTGGTGGTCACTGCCGGTCATTCCCGGTCATTCCCGGTCACTGCCGGTCACTGCCGGTCACCGCTGGTCATTCCCGGTCACTGCCGGTCACTGCCGGTCACCACTGGTCATTCCCAGTCATTCCCGGTCACTGCCGGTCACTGCTGGTCACCGCTGGTCATTCCCGGTCACTGCCGGTCACTGCCGGTCATTCCCGGTCACTGCCGGTCATTCCCGGTCATTCCCGGTCACTGCCGGTCACCACCGGTCATTCCCGGTCACTGCCGGTCACCACCGGTCACCACCGGTCACTGCCGGTCATTCCCGGTCACCGCCGGTCACTGCCGGTCACTTCTGGACATTCCGGCCCATTCCAGAACATTCCAGGGTATCCCCAGCCCTTCCCAGGTGCTGTTCCCAGCCCCATTCCCGCCCCATTCCCAGCCCCATTCCCGGTAACATCCCCATTCCCATCCCGTCCCCGTTCCCATTCCCGTTGGGTACCAGGGAGCCCTCCAGGTTGAAGGTCTGCGCGTTCTGGCACAGCAGCATCACGTCCTTCTCCAGGTCGTTCAGGCTCCGGTACTTGTGGTTCCGGATCCGCTCCTGCAGCGGCACCGGGATCAGCCGAGCCCCGGGGTGGATCCGCCGGGACCCACCGGGATCCACCGGGATCCACAGGGATCCACCGGGATCCACCAGGATCAGCCGAGCCCCGGGGCGGATCCACTGGGACCCACCGGGACCCACCGGGATCTGCAGGGACCCACGGGGATCTGGGAGGGATCCACAGGGGCCCAGCAGGGACTGGGAAGGGTTCACAGGGATCCAGGAGGGACCCAGGAGGGATCCAGAGGGATCTGGGAAGGGTTCACAGGCATCCACAGGGATCCACCCACTCCAGCCCACCATGGGCAGGGAGTGCAGGCCGTGCCCTCACCCTAACCCCAACCAGGTCCCTCAGAATCCTCCTTTTCCCCCATTTTTTCACCAATCCTGGGGGATTTTTGGGGCTGAGAATTCCCGATCCCGATCCCAGCCCCGGTGGATCCGGTGGATCCGGTGGATCCGGTGGACCCGGTGGTACCTTGATCTTTTTGAAGTCCACGGGCTTGCGGATGAGCTCGTAGTACTCCGGGAGCTCCTTGCGGGACGGGAGCTGGATGAAAACCTCGCTGAGCTGCCGCCCGCTGCTGCTGCGGGGGGAGAAGGGCGTGAGGGGCGGCCTTCCTCCTCCTCCTCCTCCTCCTCATCCTCATCCTCGTCATCCCCTCACCGTCATCATCCCTTCGTGGCCATCGTCCCCTCATCCTCATCATCCTCATCATCATCAACCCTTCATCGCCATCGTCCCCTCATCCTCATCATCCTCATCTTCATCATCCCATCATCCCCTCATCCTCATCATCCTCATCCCCATCATCCCACCTGAATCTGCAGGAACCTCCAGGCACCTCCAGGAACCCCCAGAACCCCCAGGACACCCCCAGGACACCCCAGGACCCCCCAGGACCCCCAGGACCCCCCAGGACCCCCGGACCGGCCGTGCCCACCTGTCCTTGTACTTGATGACGGCGTCGACGATCTTGCGCATCTTGCGGGTGAGGGGGGGCGGGTTTGGGGACAGTTTCTCGGCCGGGGGGCGGCCGCGCTTCTTCTGCTTGCGGCTCTCCTCGTCCTTGTCGCGGGCGCGGCCGCCGGGCGCCGTCCCCGCGGGGCCCTCGGGCTCCCGCTTGCGCTTGCGAGAGGATTTCTTCTGCCGCACCTCCTCCTCGATCTCCTCCAGCGTGCCCTCCTCGATGGCCTGCGACACCGGGTGTGGGGCCGTGGGGCGGGGGTGTGGGGCGGGGGAAATGGGGCGTGGGGCCGGGGGAAATGGGGTGTGGGGCCGTGGGGCCAGGGAATGGGGCGTGGGGTGGGGGAAATGGGGTGTGGGGCTGTGGGGCAAGGGGAAACGGGGCCGTGGGGCCGGGGAAATGGGGGGGTTGTTGGGCGGGGGCCGCAGGAAACGGGGGGCCTGGGATTGGAGATCTGATGGGGCGGGATCTATAGGGATTTTTGGGATCTGCAGGGATTGGGGATCTACAAGGATTTGGGATCCACAAGGATCCCCAGAGGGATTTGGGATCCACAAGAATCCCCAGAGGGATTTGAGATCTGCAGGGATTGGGGATCCACTGGGATGGGATCCGCAGGGATTTGGGACCTGCAGGGATTTGGGATCCACAAGGGTCCCCACAGGGGTTTGGGATCCCTGCAGGGATTTAGGATCCGCAGGGATTGGGATCCACAGGGATTGGGATCCACAGGGATTGGGGATCTACAAGGACTGGAGAACCCAGGCCCTCCAGATACATCACCAGGTCCATCCCCAGGTGTCCCCCAGGTGTGTCCCCACCCCCCCAGGTGCCCCCAGGTGTCCCCACCTTCAGCCACTGCTTCTCGGTCAGGGAGTCGCTGTAGTCGACCTCCTTGCGGTGTCGGGAGCCGCGGCCGAACATCTTCTCCTCCTCC